TATCAGGAATCTAATTCCTTTTATTTGTTTTTCAGAGTTTTAGTTTCACCTACCTTTTTGCCCTTGTTCTAATTGGTATATGAATTCTTTTTGAAAAACTTACATTTGATCGAATCAAAGAGATTTTCATATTTCATGTTTATATCTGTCTATCCTGTTCATTCACCTGATCTACTCTTCTGCCAATGAAGTCAACTAATCATTAGTTATCACACGGTCATTCATCACTGTTTTTTTTTACTCTTTACTTCGTGAACTCGCTCGGTTTGTCTCGTTGTTCATCATTGATTTGTTTTTTGAAAATTTCTTTTCTTTCCGCTTCGACTTCGTCTTTCGACTTTTTTCCGACTGCAAATTTCTACGAGCAATTTTTTTTTCAGAACTCGTTATTTCTGTTAAATCAACAACAACAACATTAACAGCAACGACGACGCCGACGACGACAACGACGATAATGATGGATACGATGCCTTCAGTAGGCCTATCAAGGCCAGAACCTGATTTTAACAGTAGAACACCGGTGGATTCGAATATCACACTATGGCAATTTCTTTTGGAATTGTTAGTGCAAGGCGAACATCCACAATTAATACAATGGACAAATCGAGAGGGAGAATTTAAGGTGGGAACTGTTGGCACAGCGCCAGAAGAGTTTATCTAAGGGTTTCTCGAGTTATTTATAATAAACTGATTTGTTTCAGCTGCTGGATGCAGAAGCTGTGGCTCGGCTATGGGGACAACGAAAAGCCAAACCACATATGAACTACGATAAATTATCCAGAGCTTTACGCTATTACTATGATAAAAATATAATCAAAAAGGTGGGTAAGAATTATCTACTGATTCTTTACTTATAAGAACTAATATCAACTTCTGATAATTTATGAATCCTTCCAAGTAATCCTTATTCTTATTTGTTTGAAAGTCTAAAACCCTAGTCACGAGATATTTCTTACAAACGCTGAATTTTTTTGAATACATATCTTCAAAAATTCCCTGGAACTTTGCCAATCAGTAAAAAAACTATTGGACCTATTTTTGAAGATGCCAAAAATCACTGGAAGTTTGCCTAGATCAAAACAACTTCCACTAGGTTTGAGGCACAAACGCGTACTCTTTTATGGAGCTTGTTGAGTGGAGCGTCGTTAGAACAAGACAAAGTTTTTACCAAAGCTTCAAACTTTTCAAAATCACTATTTTCGACAACACCACCCCTATCAATCCCATCTATTGCCTGTTTTTTCTGTTTTTTTTGAGAATTACCAGATAAACTAGTATAAACATTTTCAACTTTCATATTGATTTCCGAAAAAGTGCACGTGTGTGATAAGAG